AATGAGAAAAAATGAGGAAAGGGAAGAAAAACCTTATTCAAAGAAGAAGAACTATAAACATATCACGAGTCTGCGGTAGAAAATTCATAAGATATTTCTTTCCATTTATTTCTAAATGGTGATATTATTTATTTGCCCAGTTGTTTAAGGGAAGAGAGAAAACATGATTTCCCCAAAATATATTAAAAGCTTCACCCATTGCCCATGGGGAAGAGAAATTAGATATTTTAAAATAGGTTCATATGATCTCTTTATACTGAGTCTCATTTCCCAATTGTATTTTAAGTTCTAGTGGAAGAGAATTGAAAGAAATTAAAGGAATTGTGACTTTAGGGAAAAAATACGATTTTTAAAAAAGGGGAGGGGCCAAAAATATGAATCTCAGAACTAATATACACCCCTGACCCTGGTTAAGTGGGTAAAAATGTGGCAAAAATAACTAAATGATTGTAAATTAAAGATACAATCAAAGTAAGAGATGCGAAATGATTTAGTGGCAAAAATAGTTAGTTTGCGTTAAAAAGTCGAAAAAAATGGTTCCCTCTGGGGAAAGAAATTCAGGACAAAAATGCCAGGGGGGGGGGACAATTTTACTTCTAGTAAGAATATACTCTGCTGTAGAGACTGTGAGCGTAAAAATGGCAATGCCCGATTTACTCATGTTTCTCTGCAAAAGTGACTGACACATTTTTTGCTTACAATACAGTAAGTTTCCAGAAATACACTCTTTTCGAGTCAGAAAAACGAATCTTCCACATTACTGATCAGATACAAGTTTCAAGAATACGGTTGTAAATCAGGCATTGCTATCTTTTCCAGGGTGTGTGTGCGTATATTCAAGTGACCTTCATGAAACGAGGGTCATTAAAAATTCCGCTTACAGTTCCTTTAAAGACGACATTAAACTCTATTACCTGAGTTTAGGGAATGATGATATCCCTGGTTTCTTGAGAGGATGATTTATCAGGATTTTCGGGTTAATCAGCTCATCATTGATTGCCTTAACAAATTTATTTATTGTTTTTACGAAACAATTTGACCAGAGGCCGAATTTTAAAAAAATAATAAAATAAATTTATTTTTTTTGGAAAAAACAAATTTCGATTTTTTTAACCTGTAACACCCCCAGGCTAACCCATGAGTGTCCACAAAAAATGTCTGCCCAATCGGTCCAGCCGTTTGGCCGGCTATACGCAACATATATCTCAATGTCTTGTTTTTTATTATATAGATTATCTATATATCGAAGAAATACTGATTGTTTGATAATTTGAAAGGAAGACTACATTTGCGAAGATTTTTTTTTCGTTTCCTTTTTAAATAATATGATAATCTTATGAGGAAAAAAATGTAATAATGGAAATTCTTAAACGAGATGAAATAATCTTGATGTATTATTTAACGAAGGCCGAAGGTTCCATGGGCACATACCCAAGAAATTATATTAAAAAATAATTTTGGTGAAATCTGACTATTTCAAGTTGGAACAGTTCACATTATGAAAGGTTGCAAATAAGTTTTATGCTCTTGTTCTGACTAACACTGTTTTTTTATTTTTCTAAAGTTAAAATGTAAAAAAAAAACCTTTTAGAAGTAAAAATTGGTTCTTAATTTGAAATTAATGCATGTGGTGTGTTTGTTTTCTTAGTTTAGTTTGTTTGTTTACCAAATTCTAATGATTTTGCTCGTTTTTTAGGTTGACACTACATTTAGATACAGCATGTTAAATTTGCCCTGAGTTTTTTTAGATGGAGAGAAGGTATAGTAGTGGGTTGTCTTAATCTACTGAACAATATCGTGTCTTCATTTATAGAAGAAATCATTTTCTGGATATTAGATCCNTACGCAACATATGTATGAATGTCATGTTTTATTATATAGATTATCTATATCTCGAAGAAATACTGTTTGTTTGATAATTTGAAAGGAAGAAGACATTGATTTTTTTGCATTTCCCCCTCAAATAATATATTGTATAAGATAAGATGAGATAAGATAGGATCTAAACCTCTAATGTTATTCATGTTATTTATCTCAGTAAACTATTAATTTTAAATGTTTAAAAATTGCTTTTAATGTCTAACATTGAGTTGAAATAATTAAAACAAATAATGGGGTGGGGGGACTCAATGAACTGACCCGGAGAAATGAAAAGATACGGGACTGGGACACCGGGGTTAATATTGGTTTGGCAATTTTGAAAAGGCAATATTTTAAAACCTAAAAGCATAAATAAAAATCTGCCGAACGTAAACCAAGCTGTTAAATAAGTTTTTCTATGCAGCAATACTAGAAAAAATGTAAAAAAAATTCAGTTTCAAATGTCGTCTTCTGTTTAAGGAATTTAAACATAGATATTTTAACTTTCAATGCCCTTACTCATGTAAAGAATATGTAATAATTATCCGTTATATCATAATATTTTAAGTTCCAGACCTAAATACAGAAGTATTATCTAACGCCAGGTTGTTATTTAACGTGACACCGGATCCGGATCCAATAAAAACGGATCCGGATCTAGGTCTTTAATATTTCTTTAAACGAACTGTAAACGTTATTTCACGTGACCCTCCATTTAGCGAGGGGCTTGCCGATTTACAACGGTACCCTTTAAACCTTTATCTGATCAAGGATGAATTGAATAAGTTGAGTTGTTTATTTTCGAATGAGGCTTAGGATCCGGATCCGAAACTGTTGGATCCGCAATATTTTGTCTTTCTGGATCCAGATCCAGACCCTCAAAAATATACGGATCCACGGATCCGGATCCAAGGGGCAAAATTTCTATCAAAAACCTAATTCATAACTGTTAAATTTTCCTAATCTCGAAATGGCTCATCAAGTTCTAGAATAAAAAAAGGAAAATAGAAGAAAATAATTTGAAAATTCTTCTTTGTTCGAAAAATCAGTAAAACTTTAAGACCTGGATCAGGACCCTGGATTGTTGCAGGGCGGATCCAGGATCCGGATCCGGATCTGAATCAAAGTTGAAGTACTGTATCATCTGAAGGATAAGTTTAAAGGGACTGTAAGCGTAATTTTAAGTCACCCTCCTTGCAAAGATGGCAATATCCGATTTGCAACGGTAAACTTGAAACCTTGATATGATTAAAATGTGAAAGATATCGTCGTTTTTCTGACTTAAGTTTATTTCTGTGAGTTTCTCCATTGCTTCTTACAAACAAGGAATGTGTAAGTCACGTTCGCAGAGAAACCGCAAATGAAAATTAACATTTTAAAGACTGATATGTAATTTTCAGCCATAGCTTTCATGTGTACTGTTGTAAAAGGGGTATTGCCATCTTTGCATGGAGGGTCACTTAAAATTACTCTTACAGTCCCTTTAATGGTAATGAGGTTACCTGCAGATACTGAATCATATATGAGTGGTTTAGAGAAATCTAGAACTAGTTTACTTAAATTCAAATGTCCTGTTGTTCTTATTTTTTCTTTTTAATTCATCTGTTCATTTGATAATTCATTTAATCATTCTTTTAATCAATCATTTTTGCATTCATTTTTGCATTCATCCTTGCATTCATTTCTGTATTCATTTGTTCATTCATTTGTGCATTAATTTGTTCTTTATATGACTGTAACGATCTAGCCCGTCTCTCCTCCCTTAAACTTTCTGGCTAAACTGCCTCACACTCTAACTATCAGTCAATCCCGACTGTCATATGGCTAACTGCAATAAACTCTAACTGTGGTATGGCTAGACCGCCTCTAACTCTAATTATTAGCCTACCCAGGCTGATTCCGTCTGTACTTAACATAAGTCTTAACTAATTTATTTATAATCATGATTATATGGGCCGGAATGACTGGCCAGGTAACAAAACTGAAGATAGAACTATAATTCAAAATATGATAACACAGTAAGGTAGATAGATAGATACAGTTACTGCAGAATTCATTACATGACTTAGATCAATTGAGTCTCTTGATAAATGTCATCGCTGATTTCGAGCAGATATATGTTGAAAGGCTGAAAATGTCGTCTTTACTTTCCAAGTTTCGACTTTACATTCACTAGATTCCAATTGCTAATTAATATTAGCTATTTGTTATTTTAACCTAATCGCTATTTAATATAGCTTAAATATAATATAATCATATTTCCGTATATAAAAATTTGTGATATATAATATATTATCTGTAACAATATTGTTAAAACAAATAAACTAACGGAAAATAAAAATATTTAGTTTAAAAATTTGTTCATTCATTTGTTCAAACATTCATTCATTGATCTTTTCATCCTTTTGGGCATACATTTTTTCATACATTTGTTTATACATTTGTTCATTCATTTGTTCATTTGTTCATACATTTGTTCATTCATTTGTGCATCCTTTTGTTCATTCATTTGTGCATTCATTTGTTCATTAATATGTTTATTCATTTGTGCATTCACTTGTTAATTAATTTGTTCAATATCTATCCCTGACTAGTGACTACCTGTTGATTATTTTTTAATAAATATCATCCCTGACTACCTGTTGATTATTTTTTAATAAACATCCATCCCTGACTACCTGTTGATTATTTTTTAATAAATATCTATCCCTGACTACATGTTAATTATTTTTTAATAAATATCTTTCCCTGACTACCTGTTGATTATTTTTAATAAATATCTATCCCTGACTACTTGTTGATTATTTTTTTGTAAATATATGTCCCTAACTACCTTTGATTATTTTTTAATAAATATCATCCCTGACTACCTGTTAATTATTTTTTAATAAATATCTATCCCTGACTACCTGTTGATTATTTTTTAATAAATATCTATCCCTGACTACCTGTTGATTATACTTTGTATTCAAATTAAATGTCATAAATTGTTTTCATTTATTTACTATCGTAAATCATAATATACATATTATGTTATTTTAGTTGTTAAAATCTCAGTTTTATTTCAGGGGAAATTAGTTCCAAAACTAACACTTAGCCCATTTCCATCACTATCTTAAAATCCAAGCCGAGTTGAACAAAACTACACCATACATTTATTAAAAATGGCTGTTTTAGAAACAAGAAATGTCAACTTTAAACTAATAATAAGGTGTGAGAATTAGTTTTCGGTGAAATTGGTTTTCATTTTCGAATATATCCCTATTTTGTAACAATTTCTGGATTTCAGCTCATGTCGCGTTTTCGGAACATATCCTGGTTTTGAGACGGTTACTCGAATTCATATCATTGTCAATTTTCATGCATTTACGCACTTACGTAACAAAACAAGATTTTTTGAGAAGGTAAAATATAAAAAATATAAAACAAAGAAATACTGTTCCTTTTTAATTTAAAAATCATGAAAGCATCGAGAAATCAAAATATTGTAATGTCATTTTGTTCTTACAATATAGATTTAACTAGAAATCCGGGAAATTGTTTATTTAGAATTCGGGAAATTAAATCAAGTTTATTCATTTATTTTACAAATAAAATAGGGAAATAAGATTTTAAAAGAAATTTAGTAGTTTATAGATAGTTTTTACTTTCTGTGATTTATTTTGTAAGTTATGAAAGTGAGTCTTGTTCTGAATTGAGGATTATACTCAAAACGGGAAAGTGGGTTTTGTCTCGAAAACGGGACAATGATTCAAATTAAGGATATGTTCGAAAATGGAAAACCTGACATTGTCATGAAAACGATCAAGGGTTTTAATATAAAAAGAACTCCTTTTATAATTTTGTTTCCAGAAAATAGTTTTAAATTGGGAATTTTTGTCCTCGGTATGCTTAATAAAATGTTGGTTATAGATTAAATTATCGACTTTTACTCTGGATATGGGCTGGGATCCTAAAAACCCAGTCTTTCAAGTTGTGCCCATTTCTAACACTCAGTGGGCCTAGTGTTTGTTTTGGAACTAATGTCCCCTGTATTTGTGTTAATAATTTAATTTGTTGATCAGTTAGTAGTCTTTTAACTAGATCACAGTGTCTGTTTCACCACTAGATAGCTCAGTATTTGATTAGAGGGAGATCTGAGAACTCCTTACGAAACTGGGCTTCTAAAATTCTAAAAATCACTGAAAGTTCATGATGCTCGACACAGCTTAACTATGCTTGATTCACCTCCTCGCAAGAAAAAAGCTAGAATAGGTGCACACTGGCATCCTGGACTGACATTCTTTCTGAAACCTCTTGTAGAAGTGAATCAAGCAAAATAAGCTCGGTCGTTTTAAGGAATAAATGACGAAGAAATAAAGAAATAATTAACTTTTTAATAATTATTCAAATTTTAGGCAGGAAAAACTAAAAGCACACAAACTTATTCTCGCCACACAAAGTGATTTTTTTAAGGTAAAAAACGCGTTTTTCATATTTTTTTGTTAGTTATTTGGATCGCTTAAATCAGGGTTTCATCTTGGATCAATTTGAGTGCACATTGTACACCCATTACACCCAGATTTTTTGTACCCAAAAATAGGGTCAAAAATATAAAAAATGTGCCACAAAAAAAAACATTTCATTGCCTAAGTAAAAACCACAAATGATATCTTAACGCTTAAAATCTGTCAAAATGAATGAAATATGCCACTAAGAGTATATAAGTGCATAAAATATGCCACAAATTATGTCTTGCCACATGATATCTGCCACACTTTACATCACAGCTCAGAGAATATGCCATAAAAAGTATTTGAATGCATACATCTGCCACTAAAATTATCTATAAGCTTAAAATCTGCCACAAAATAGTGCTAATGTATAGCAAATGCCACAAGCTATACCGAGACATATAAAATCTGCCACAAACAGTAATTAAAAGGAAAAAAGTGCCACAAACTATGTTTTAGTCATACAAAATGTGCAACAAACAGTATTTAAATGCATGAAATCTGCCATAAAAAGTAATTAAAAGTATAAAATATGCCACAGATTATGTCTTGCCACATATAATCTGCCACACATGCCATGAAAGCTCCGAAAATTTGCCACAATCATAATAAAATCTGCCACAAAAATTATCAATAAGCTGAAAATTTGCCTCAAAATAATGCCAACACATAATATATGTCACAAGTTATACCAAGACAGATACCACATATACAAACAGTAATTAAAAGAATAAAATATGCCAAACAAAACAAAGCTCAGAAAATATGCCACAAAAATTTAGCATAAATAATAGCCCCAAATGTCACCAACAGTAATACGCCGCAGCAAACTTCGAAGAAGTTTGCGTGGGCTCCAGAAACCTATAAAATAGACCTGTTTTTAAGTTACGGATTTAAAAAAAAAAATATGATTCTGTAAGGGAGGGAGAAAAAGATGAGTCTTACAACTACTACTCACCATTGTAAAGTTGGGGTTCGCTGGAAACCTAAGCTCAGGAAATATTCCAGCAAAACTAACAAAAGGCAGAGCCACAAAAAAAAACACTTTTACCGACAAATTTAATTCACCTTCGAAGTTTGATAACAAAATTGTAAAAATTATAAAAAAAACTGCCACAAATCTAAAATCTGCCACAGAAGGGAAGCACTATACCCGCCACAAAATTCCTAGATGAAACCCTGGCTTAAATAATTATTTTCGTGGCAATTCGTAAGTTTTTAAAATTTGATTTGACAGAGATTTTTATCTAAAATTAGAATTTCCAAAAATGTTTGTTCCCATTAATTTGTTCTTATTTATTTCTAAAAAAATGTTTGTATCTATTGATTTTGTATTTATGATTGCGTATCCTATTTTTACTCTTAGTAAATGTAGTATGTAGTAACTTGATATATTTAATTGGACGGAACCGGATTTAATCGATTTGAATAATTCAGGGTTGTATATTCTCACTTGAAGTTTAATTTTATTCCCCCCACCCTGTCATTGTTGTCCCGAACTTCCTTCCCGTCGGGGATTTTTTTCTTTTTCTTCCTTGTTTTCTTTTTTTCTCCCTTTTTTCTTGAGTTTTCTTCCCTGGGCTGAAATCTCTCCCCCCCCCCTTGAGGAGGGAGGAAGTACGAATATACTCCCCTGGAATAATTAAAGGAACTATCTACGCATTTAAAGTGACCATCCATATGTAAATCCACAATCCTAATTTGAGCCGCGGCTCAAATATGGTTGGTTCCATTTAAAATTGTATTCAATGTTTCAAGATTAAACCGGCTCTCAATTGAAACCGGTTTTTGGCTGATTTGAGACTCGGCTCAAATTCATCAAATTCGGACTCTGGTTGCTTTTTACCCATGGTTGAAAAAGGTTAATTTTAGAAAGAAAAACAAGGTTATCTCCATCATTTGCCCAGAAAAAGGAGCATGTAAGGCTTAATGTGAAGGATCATTTGAATTTATAAAGAATGTCTCTTAAATATAATAAAATCCATCAAAGCTAATGTTCTCTCCCTTAATGGTTAAACAGATCACTTATTGGTCCATGGCCTAAAAAAAAAGATTTTATCATTATCAAATTAAATGAATGGATTAATTTTTCCGAGAAGAGAAGAAAGAGTTTTATCTCATTTGAATTGGGTTAATCCGCCTACTCATAAGTTCCGAACCAAACCCTTCAAAAGTTAAGCACTCCCTTTCATAAGAACATTTTTAGGGACTGTTTCGGAATGAGAAGAAAGATGAGGTTACAATAGATATCTGTTCATATTCTACACTTTCTACAATACTTAAATACTTTTATACAGGTTAATAGTTACTTATAGACAGGGACACTTATTCATATTCTACACTTTCTACAACACTTAAATACTTTTATACAGGTTAATAGTTACTTATAGACAGGGACACTAATTCATATTCTACACTTTCTACAATACTTAAATACTTTTATACAGGTTAATAGTTACTTATAGACAGGGACACTTATTGGTGTAAAGTAGACCTTTCCTTATTCTAAGTATTAATAAAATTTGGGGTCAGTATTACAACGGACCTTGTGGAACACCCTTGCGTGATGTTACTATTCTAGGTCAGGTTAGGGTAAAAGGCTCAGAGGTTCAAGGTTGCCAAAAAAATATGAATTATAAATTTATAATTTACCACTCTCCCCCGGGGAGGGGGGGGAGGTTTTTTTTGATGATTTGGGGGCGGAAAAATGAAAAATTGGATATCAAAGGGCAACTTTTTTCATTCTTTTGATACTTTTTATCAAAAAGTTCAGTTAAATATATATTACTTCTGGGGGAAAAATTATTTTTACTGCGGTTTGTTCACATTTTACTGTACTTTGATGCATTAGGAATCCTTGTTTTACATTTTTATTATTTACCGGATAGAAAAATACTTATTTCTGACTGTAACAAATATTCTATGGTATTCCGGATTAAATGACTAGCTAGAGAAGTTGTTTATCTAGGTATTGCTGCTTGAACCACTTTTTTAGTTCAGCTCGGTCATATTAGAAGTGAAATTTAATCATCTGGTACCTACCTCATTCTTTCTATTCATTAAATCCGAACTTAGGAAGTTCGGAGATTACGATAGAAAACGTGCAGGATATTCTGGTTGCAGCTAACTTCCTTCAAGTCAAGGTGAAATATTTATCTCAGAGATGCAGATTTATAAATGCGGGAATATTTATATCAGATATGGAGATTTATGAATGTGGGAATATTTATATCAGAGATGGAGATTTATGAATGCGGGAATATTTATCTCAGAGATGGGGACTTTTGAATGAGGGAATATTTATATCAGAGATGGAGATTTATGAATGCGGGAATATTTATCTCAGAGGTGGGGACTTTTGAATGAGGGAATATTTATATCAGAGATGGAGATTTATGAATGCGGGAATATTTATCTCAGAGATGGAGATTTATAAATGCGGGAATATTTATCTCTGAGATGGAGATTTATGAATGCGTGGATGATTATTTTAGCGATGGAGATTTATCAATGCCGGAATATTTATCTCAGAGAGGGAGATCTATAGATGTGTCATATTTATCTGAGAGATAGAGATTTATAAATGCCGGAATATTTATCTCAGAGAGGGAGATCTATAAATGTGGCCTTTTTTATCTTAGAGAGAGAGATTTATGAATGTGTGAATATTTATCTCAGAGATGAATATTTATGAATGCGGGAATCGATATCTTAACGGTTGAGATTTATAAATGTGGACATACTTATCTTAGAGATATGGACTTTTGAATTTGAGAACAATTATTTCGAGATGAATTTTTTAATTTTGGAGCATTTAATTTAAAAATTGAGATTTTTAAAGATGTTGGGTACTTTCCAAAAGGCATTTTTCCAGGCGTTAACTTCCCAAATATGCAATTACCTAAGTCGGTCCTTGCCACAGCGCTCGGCCCCTATTGCAGCCTGGGGCACATCGGAAGGCCTCATCCAACATTTGAGAAGTTGCCGCATGGGAAATTTTCCTTGGGAAAATACCTATAACACGTTTTGGGATATGGGAGCATTTTTATTCGAGACCAGCTGAAAGGCCTGGCGTTGCCAGTGAAAAAAATTTGAAAAAAAATATTTTGAATTTTCGAAATTTTTTGCCTATAACACCACCTGGCCACCCATGAGTGTCCACGAAAAATGTCAGCCCAATCGGTCAAATTTTATTAATTTGCATATTTGTTAAATTATCAGCAAAATATTGTTTTGGAATAAATAAAAAAGTACTTTTAGAATTAAGTCTAATTTTTTATTTTATTTTCATGCTTTAAGGTTTTGATAAGCATTATAAAAATGACAAATAATTTTGGTTTAGGAGTTGATAAGAAAATGTTCAGATTTTATGGCAAGAAATCTAGATCTAACAAACTGTGTTACAGTTCTCAGGTAATCAAAATCCTCACATATTTCACCTTAAAAAATAATAATAGAAATGTTTTTTTTTACGTGAGATTGTTTTTTATTAGTTTGTGTCTAATAACAATACTAAATGATTTTATCGTTTTATTTTGCATTAAACCAAAAATCAATATTTCTTGTGGTNTCGATATTCTCCATTTTAGCTATAAAAAAAAGGTTTCAAAATGTTTGAAGAAAATATTTTGATGAACTTTTTTCAGGTTGGGTGACCTGCTCAACAATGAATTCTTGCTACAGGTAGGCAAAAGTTGTTATCCGGATCCGGAAATAATGTCAATCCCCGGATTCGATTAATATCACTGTACATTTTAATATGCATTATGCAGTCTCCCGAAGAAATGTATTAGACTTATGCTTATTGAAGCTATGGAACAAATGCTAAGCACTAAGCAGTTCATGTTGTTGATCCAAGGCTGAGAGAAAGAAGTAAAAAATGGTCAGGGCAAAGGCTAGTTTTTAAAAGGTTCATAGCGGTGCCTCTTCTTCAGATTTCATTTCCTTATGATTCCTTATGCATGATNAGTAATCTTATTCAATTATTAGTTTCTATAGTCTCTCTTTAATCACAAAGATTTTCTGCAGATTTTCTGGAATTTTTATTAAAAAGACGACATTTGAAGAATTTGAAGAAATCTGCGAACAAATTCATAGAAAATAAGAAATTCAAAATGGGGATGAAAAAGGAAATAATTAATTCTAGCTTCTATTTATTGACAAATTTCTTTTAAGAAATATGTTCCTAAACATTTAATTAATTTACTGTAGAATATTTACTATATTTTTCTTCGTCATTATTTAATAATTAAAAAACTGATTCTGAAAACGTACCCACTCAAATTCATGATTTTGAACGTCGACTTTGCGCTCAAACTCAGTAATTATACATCGTGGAAGCGTTTTATATGTCTCAAATGAATCCGATAGAATGTGTCCACAACACTGCATACTCAGTTCAACTACCTTACATAGCCGGTCTATCCCTTTGAACGTGCATTGTTTATACATAAATAGGGGTACATATTTTTAGGAAATAATTTTGATGCTGAGGGGGAAAATGAAAATTGGACTTATAAAGGCAAGGTCTTTAATAAGAAATTTGCCCTAAAAAAAACAATTAATTTTCCACAATTGAGCGAATAAACATGTAGAAAAAGCTTCATACCTCATATTTTTAAGAGGTGGGGGATCGAAACCTTAAGAACCATTGAAAAACAATTTTCCACAAAAATTATACCAGAACTGAAAATTGCGAATTTGCTAATTACAATTTTGCAAATTTTCTGAGAATTCAATCTTTTTGAAATTTTAGATTTCGATAGAAACAATTTTTTTACACATTTTTGTTTTTCTGAACTTTTCATTTTGAAAGAAAAAAAGTTTCGCGGATTTTTTTAGGCCATTGAAGTACCAAAAAAATTTACAAATTTTTAAAAAATATTGAAAAATACCTTTCAGGAGAGTTGCACAAAAAAAGGTACAATTTTTCACCAGGCGCCGCAAATTAAACTCTTTTTTTTACTCACCCTGTACGTTAACAGTTTTTTTAAAGTAATGTTACCATTTAATGTTACCATTGAGCTCACACTGGTTACAGTAATATATTTCGCATTTATACTTAAACCATTTATCAATTTGGAACATTGTCCATGGATACGCTCGGTGGACAGGAGCACCGGCCCCAACTTCACTGAACGACGGGTTGTCATTTAATAATAATAATAATCATCAGTTGATGCTATTCGATACTTTTTCCTAATTCTTTTAAAACGTACACGTGAGTAATTTAATGATTTGTTACATTACTCTTTCTATATTTATATTAGAATAAAAAACATTAAAGGGACTGAAAACAATATTTTAATTGATCCGCCGTGCAAAGATGGCAATGCCCGACTTACAACGGTATCCTTAAAAGTTTTGTCTCATTAATTATGAATTAGAAATCAATCTTTTTTTATAAAATATTTATTTTGATTCGTGGTTTCTCTTGCGCATTTCTTGCTTTTAAGAAAGACTGGAGACAATATCAGGATGAAACACTTTTCGAGAAAAACGACGTTATCTTTAACATTTTTAATCAAAGTTCAATTTCAAGTGAATCATGCATTTTCATCTGTGCATGGAGGATCATTTGAAATTACGCTTACAGTCCCTTAAATTCAACATTATGTCCTTCTCAGAAAAAAAAACTATTTTAACAATTGTTCTTCCTAGGACACCTGGCCATTGTTTCGAGCGTTGAAGTTACCATTTATTGCTCATCATCTTGATTTGAAGTAAGTTTTTTATCCCTCCCCCCTCCCCTGTTCAACGCCCACTACCCCTTCTCTCTCTTTCTCTCAGTATGAAAAGATGTCAATCAACTTTTATTAATGGTTTATAGTTTTAATATTGATAAAGAATTTTATATTGTAGCGGACGTAAATCCCGGAAAGGTTATCTTAAAATCCGCATTTTTTTATTTCCAGAGTTACCCCCACCCCACCCCTTTGCTGGGGAGGGGGACTGATTATCTTATTGGGGGAAAAAAATATTTTCCAAAGGGGGTGGGGGGGAATGATTTTCCAGGAAAATATATTAAGTGATTCATTAAGTGATTGTTCAGGGATTTTGGTCTGCCGGAGCTTGCAAATTTTGATGATGATCCTACGGTTCATTCTTTAATCAGGTAGGTTGATAGCATCCTCTTTTCCCTTTCCTTCGTGGGAGGGAGTAATTTTAAAAAGAACGTACGTCTGAAGTTGGAATTATTGACCATAGCTGGGAACTCTTGTATTTTTGACATTGAGGACATTTGTTCTTTCAATTTTATAATTTTTGCTAGAATCTTACTTTTACCCTAGGAGCTCAAGAGTGCAGAAGGAAGACGACCTGAAGAGGAAGTTCTCCGTAGACCCGTTTTCTAAACATAATTCCAAGCTTAGAGCTTACAGTATCAAGGTAAGACATTTTGTGGAAACTCACATAACCTTAGAGAAGGTTTTGGGGTGGTCGTAATTGAAAAATTATGTCTGTAAAAAATCATAACATTCGTTTGAGATCAACTCCTGTTGTTCTCCAACTTGTTTTTAAAATTAATTAATGTTTGTTGTTTATATTGAATTGTGAAAATTATTTTGTTTTTTTAATGTTTTATTTTAAAGTTTACATTGTTTTATTAGCACGGAATTATAGATTGGTTATTAATACTATCATTGTTACTATTATTATTATTATTATTATCATTGTTATCATTGTTATTATTATGATTATCCATTTTGGTCCAGCCGTTTCGCCAGCTATAACGAGCAAATATATTAGAGCGAAGATATTGTTTTTTAGATTTTTCTTATTATTTTATTATTATTTGTATTTAGTATGTGATATGGTCTGACAGATTTGGTTGCGGACCCAACTGTAATTACAGGATATGTCTGTTAGTCTATATTATTTCTTCAAGTTTAATTCAGCAATGTCTAAGGTGGGTTGAAAGTGAACTGGTCCAACGGTTCAACAGATATTGCTGGGATAACATCCAAAACATCGGGGGCAGCTTTGGCGGAGGGTGCCTCTGCTCTGACAGCTCCGGCAGCGGAAGGATCAGCCGCTGCGGCAGATGATACAATAGCTGAGGCAGATAAAGAGTCGCCCTATAAAGTTTTCTCAGGTTTGAATATTTTTTAGAAAATAAGTATTGGTAAATTGATTTTAATTTAAACCGCAGGATTTGAATATAAGATTTATTGCCTGATTTATTGATTGATTTTATTGATTGATTGATTGATTGATTGATTGATTGATTGATTGATTGATTAGTTAACCTGCGTGAAGGGGAGAATATACAAAAGGTGGGTCTCCGCTCTGGTTGGTTCATTGATAGGTATTCATTCATTTATCCTTTCATTCATTCATCTACTCATCTATTTGCAAACTTTAATATTCATCTATTCATATATTCATCTAATGATTTACTTATTTACGATACTATTTATTTATTCATTCATCTACTCATCTATTTATATACTTATTTACTCATCTACTTGGTAGTTGCTAACTTTAATGATAATCATCTCATTAATTCATCTATTGATTTTTTTGTTTTACTTTATTAATCTATTCATCTACTCATCTATTTATCTACTCATTTATTAATTTGTTTTACTAAATGTATATATTCATCTAATCATCTATTTATCTACTCATTTATTAATTTGTTTTACTAAATGTATATATTCATCTAATCATCTATTTATCTACTCATTTAGTAATTTATTTTACTAAATGAATAATTCATCCACTCATCTATTAATTTGTTTTACTAAATGAATATATTCATCCACTCATTTATTAATTTGTTTTACTAAATGTATATATTCATCCACTCATCTATTAATTTGTTTTACTAAATTTATATATTCATCCACTCATCTATTAATTTGTTTTACTAAATGTATATATTCCACTCATTTATTAATTTGTTTTACTAAATGTATATATACATCTACTCATCAATTAATTTGTTTTACTAAATGTATATATTCATCCACTCATTTATTAATTCGTTTTACTGAATGTATATATTCATCCACTCATCTATTAATTTGTTTTTCTAAATGTACATATTCATCTACTCATCTACTTGCAAAGTGTAATCTGCAATATGTGATTCACTCATATATTCATCTAATCATTTACTTATTTACTAAACTAATTATTTATTTATTTATCTATTCATTTATTTATTTCCTTGTTATCAGGATAAGGTTGACGACCAACAAGGGGGATGTTCACGGTCCCTTTGGTAATGACGATGGGGAGGCAAGGAAAACCCAAAGGTTGGATAGATCCATTCTTTCTTTTTTTTTCATTGGGTTAAAATTAATTTCATTGGTATTATTTTTTAATGTTCTTTTCATTGTTTATTGGATTAATTCAATAGTTCATTGTGTATTTCAGTCATTGACGTATTTTATTAAATGAACTATTCAGTTATAAATGTTCATAATCCAATTTTTCAAAACTAACTCATTAAAAAAAGTTAGACGACTTACTTTGTTTGAAAATATCTAGATCTACAGCTTAAATAACAAACACGTTATGGAATATTTAAATTTTTTTAAAACACTTTCGGGCCTTTTTACTGACCAAAAAAAAACTTTTTTATTTTTCAAAAAGTTCCCAATCTCAGAATTTAGAACTCACGAAGAAGCGATTTCGTAACAAGGTAAAAAATATATGACGTAATTATTTGTTTAGTTTACTGCGGCGGAACGTTGATCCTAAATATGTTTATCTGGACGGAATACGGGGATATGTTGTACAAGCAGAGGTCTGTACATAAACATAAGTACAGTTTAATCCATATCTTCGGAGAAATTAAACAAATTTATAAAATGTCGTCTTGATAATTTTTTCAATGGGTTTAATACTAATAGATCTAAATCTCAGTACTTGCTAAAATAAATAAATAGCCATGAAATATGCGGGAACAGTTTTTTAAGCTTAATATAATTTTTTAATTAAACTAAATATCTGCAGCATTCCATTATCAGAAAGTTAAGAAAACGACATTTTATAAATTTATTTCGATGTTTTCGTAGTTCTGGGTTAAACTTTACATAAATATACAATATAGTACATAAATTTACTATTAAGTACATAAAAATAAAAATCTTGTACGTAAACATTAAATTTAGTACATAACCGTACAATTTAGTAAATTTCTCCAATTTAGTACACTAACACACAAGTTAGTACACATACATATATATATACAATTTAATATATATAAACATAAAATAATTTAGTACATTTGCATACAATTTAGCCCATAAACATTACACTTGGAACATATTCAATTATTTGCTAGGTAGGCAGATTGTCATGATTTAACTTGAAATAAACCATTTTTTAGCTAACACTCCCATTAAACCGAATTTAAAAACGTTTAACATAATGTGCAGGGTAAACCTGCCCTGAACCGGATATCCTTCAAGTGGGCCTTCTTCCTGGATAGGAAAATATCTAAACATAGTTATTATAATTCGATTTTTATCAAGTAAGTTTTTTTATATAAAACATTTAAATAAAACTTTTGTAATTAGTTTTTTTTGTAAGTTTTATTAATGAAAAATCGAATAATTTTAACGAACAAGNGGATGATTCTTGAGATTCTACGGGCAACACCAGGCAGTGCACTGATAGTCTAAATGGACAATATAAGAAGCTCAATAGAAAAAAGCATCAGAAATTTATTGAAAAATATGGGAAACAAAGTAGAACTAAAAAAAAGAGTTTTTATCCTGAGACACCTATCACAATGCTTTAATTCCATATCTCAATCTCGATTTAGTAATTTTATCTTAAGTTTGATATGTGGGTATTGGGACGTCCCAAAAACTCTGATTGATTGATTGATTGATTGATTTGTGTTCAGGATATTGCCTTCCTTAGTACTCTACCGCCCTATTACTGACATGGAAAGTATGGCGTTTACCGATGACGAGGAATTCGCTTTTTCGAGTAAGTTTTTTATAATCTTAATTGGAATCGGAATCGAAATCTTAATCTTAATCATGACAATGATAACAATCACAGTCATAATTATAATGAAAGTAATCATTACGATGAAAATACTATTAATAATGATGATACTATTTTTAATGATAATACTATTAATAATGATGATACTATTGATAATAATGGTACTATTTTTAATGATGGTACTATTTTTAATGATGATACTATTGAAAATGATGATACTATCGATAATGATGATACCAATGATAATGATGATACTATTGATAATGAAAATACTATTAATAATGGTGATACTATTAATAATGATAATACTATTAATAATGATGATACTATTAATAATGATAATGCTATTAATAATGATGATACTATTGATAATGATGGTACTATTTTTAATGATGATACTATTGATAAGGATGATACTAATGATAATTATGATACTATTAATACAGATAATGATGATACTATTGATAATGATAATACTATTGATAATGATAATACTATTAATAATGATGATACTATTGATAATAATGGTACTATTTTTAATGATGGTACTATTTTTAATGATGATACTATTGAAAATGATGATACTATCGATAATGATGATACCAATGATAATGATGATACTATTGACACTGATAATACTAATGGTTTTGTAGATTCTGATTACGAGGTTGAAATGGAGGAGCCAGTTCTTCTACTCCCAAGAGAGGATCATGAAGAGGATCATTTTATGTATTGAGCAGTAATTAGGGATCATAGAACATATTATAGATCATGAATTAAGAACTAATTCTTGATCATGAGGGGACTAATGATCGATAAACAATATCCAACCAGAGTGCTAATGACATTTAACAATCAGTTTGCGTAAGATCGTATTTTCAGCTTCCTGATTTATTTAATGATCGTTATTTGAAACTGGAATCCACAACAAGTACAATTTGGTTGTCAACATTGTGATACAAAATTATATTATTTATATTAAATTAGTTTAGCGACAGATTTTTTTTTAAAGGTCTCTCAAGGCGTGTCTTCTGAAATAAGTTGTTTTCTGTAATTTAAAGAAAATGTAAACAAAATTTCACGTTTCAAGCTAATTTCTAAAGGGATAAAATTCATATATTTCTTTTGCAGATAGATAGATACAGTATATTCAATATTTATATTTCAGATAGATAACTTTATAAACCAATGGAACAGTTCAGTCCGCAGCCCCCCTAGAATTTGTAGCTGGAGCTTAATCAGGTAATTGTTTTAATCATTTAAGGAATTGTTGACATAATTTCAAGTGACCATACATGGTAGATTCACAACGGTACCCTTTAAATACTTGTCTGATTTTCAGTCTTTTTTTCAACATGACAAAAATTATTTAGATTCCAAAAATTGAATTCAATATCTCTGCCGTAGAAACATGCAAGCTACTTTTTATTAAGAAGTTATCACTTTTAGAGAGATATCTAAAGCTGTCAGATAAAAAAGTCAACTTTTAGAGAGATATCTAAAGCTGTCAGATAAAAAAGTCAACTTTTAGAGAGATATCTAAAGCTGTCAGATAAAAAAGTCAACTTTTAGAGAGATATCTAAAGCTGTCAGATAAAAAAGTCAACTTTTAGAGATATCTAAAGATGTCAGATAAAAAAGTCAACTTTTAGAGAGATATCTAAAGCTGTCAGATAAAAAAGTCAACTTTTAGAGAGATATCTAAAGCTGTCAGATAAAAAAGTCAACTTTTAGAGAGATATCTAAAGCTGTCAGATAAAAAAGTCAAAATTTGAAATATACAAGGTTTACACCATGAGGTTACAAAGATGAAAAAAATCATTGAGTTCCAGTTTGAATTCTGATTTCAGAAGAAAAAAAATTTCCTATATTAATTATGTTTAATTTTAGTGCTTTTGTCGGTGGAACCGGTTTAAGAGTACAGTGTGCTGCAGTACAATACAATACAAACCATCATGAAGAAATCTTTAGAAAAATTCAAGGTAGGTTGGTAATGAATTTGCATTTTAAAACACTCTTAATGTCAAATTAAAATAAATATTACGTGAGATTGAACTCTTAAATTTTTCAAACTAGAACTTCTCTAAAAGGAGAACAAAAAAGTTTTGAATTTCTAATATGTCACCGAAAAGATTTATTTTTACTATAACATGAGTAAAATCAAATCTAGAGGAGCTACTATTGGACCTTCTCTTTCTGTCTTGTGGAGTACTTGAACATTCTTTCACTCAATTTATCTTCATTTTCTATATTTATCTCTCATATTGATTTCTGAATTATAGTTCACGGGCACAAAAACTTGCCAAATGTTCACAATGACACAGAAAGTCCCATTTGGGATCAGAAATGGAATGATATGGACCACTGTTTTTCAGCATTTCCACCCCAATTTTGATGTTCGTCAAACCGTCCCTGGGTTCATGTAAGGATGTAATGCAAGGAAAGTTATTTCAGAAGTGTACACATCTTTTGTACTGCAGTATACTGTCTCTGGGCGGTAATGTAAACACAAGACGGATGTCAAAGTCTGACATGGGATCCATCTTTCGCATAAAACTCAATGAAATATTCTGGTCATAAGAAACTATTATGTGAATTATCAAAATTTAATGCTTTTAACCTCCTCGGATACTAAACGAACACGGATGCATCTATTCTTGTTTACAAATTCCTCCCAGAGAGAACTGGTTTCAATATGTACGCAGAGTATACGCGACTGCAATTAACTTTCCTTGCATTACACCCTTGGCCCGATCGGTTCAGCTGTTGTGACATTTATCAGTTACAAGCAAACAAACAGACAGACAAGAAAGTATACATTCAGATAGTTGATCGATACTTTTTTTGTAAATTAATTTTTATATTTATTTCAGGTTCGAATAGACCAAAATTTGAATCGAAGTGAAAAATCAATTGCTCTCCCACCTGATTTGCTTAAAATAGGTCATTTTTCTCTCATTAAGATTATTCCAATTATTAACACCAAAAAAGAATTAAATTTAAACTGCACAATTGATCTTTGTGTGTAATTAAATCTTTATAAGTATAATAATAAGTAGAACCAAAGCTGGGAACTTGTGTGCTGGATACTTATTATCCTGATCTCTTGATCTCGATATCCATTGTGGGAACTTCTGAGTTGGATACTCATTATCCTGATCTCTTGATCTCGATATCCATTGTGGGAACTTCTGAGTTGGATACTCATTATCCTGATCCCTTGATCTCGATATCCATTGTGGGAACTTCTGAGTTGGATACTCATTATCCTGATCTCTTGATCTCGATATCCATTGTGGTGAGTTGGATACTCATTATCCTGATCCCTTGATCTCGATATCCATTGTAGGAACTTTCTGAGTTGGATACTCAATATCCTAATCTCTTGATCTCGATATCCACTGTGGGAACTTTTAATTTGAGAATAAATGCTTAATCTCATAATTGCAGTTTTCCCTTCAGAGTATAATTACACTGCGGATATAAATTAAGATTAAATTAATCTGCAGATTAATAAATTGTATAAATCAAGCATTGATCTTGATATCCACAAGAGTTCCCAGCTCAAGTCTAAGATGCCAATCTCAACGTGATTTTGTTTTATACACAAAGTCCAAAATTTATTATTATTGTTCTTATTAAATTTCGTAATAATTCTACTGGGAAATGTAAACTGAGTTGAAAACTCTTGTATTGAATTTCGTCAATCCCGATTATTAAATCTCTGTATCCACTTTGGACACTTTTGGATATCCCTGCTG